CCGTGTTTCATTCTCACTCCTTTCTCTCTCTCTCTCTTCAGGTGAACTGGAGCAGCAGTTGTGCCCTGAGTACCCTAATATTGTTTTCTCCAGGGTGGTGTGTGGGGACCCTCCTGGCCCCGCACCGCCTGGGGAGGTGCAGCAGTTTGGTCGCCAGTTCCGCGTGGAGGCAGCGGGAGGGCTGGAGGACTGTGCCATGTTCTACGTGGGAGCCGAGGGTCTGTCCCTCACCAGCTTCATGCTGACCTGGAACCGCTGCCCCTTCAGCTCCTTTGACCCCACCACCGGCTGCGGCCGTCGCGAGACCCTCAATGTCAACCGGGCCCTGATGCGACGCCTCTACCTGGTGGAGCGGGCCCGGGACGCTCAGGTGGTGGGCATCTTGGTGGGCACCCTCGGTGTGGTGGGCTACCTGGTCGTGCTGCAGCACCTCCGGGAGCTTCTGCGCCGGGCTGGCAAGCGCAGCTACACACTGGCTGTGGGGAAGCCAAACCCTGCCAAGCTAGCCAACTTCCTGGAGGTGGACATCTTTGTCCTGGTGGCCTGTGCTCAGAACTCCCTACTGGACTCCAGTGACTTCTACCGGCCTATCGTGACTCCCTATGAGCTGGAGCTGGCCTGTAACCCAGCCCGGGAGTGGACAGGGAACTACCTCACTGACTTCCGAGACCTGCTGCCAGGTAGGAGCTGGAAGCCAGCTGCCCAGCACCGTGCTGGGACACATCCTGCCCTGCTCCCTTGCAGGGAGACTGTGGTTGCCCTGGCTCTGTGCTGACCAGAGGATAGATGTGAGGACCAGACTGATGTTACTGTTTCTTGGCAGGTGCCTGTGCGCACATTGAGCTCCCACTAGCTATCCCTGCAGCGGAGGCTGTTCCTGACATCTCGCTGATCACAGGGGAGATGCGTGCCACACACCTCTGCGACACCCCAACTGCCCCTCAACTGCCCCCCAGCACCGCCCTGGCCTGCAGGGACCAGACACGGGCTCTCGCAGAGATCAGCCCTGCTGGTTTGTGATTCAGTTTCGTGGTGGGGCTGAGCCCTGGTGCAGCGTCCCTGCTCCCAGTAACAATTCCCTTTCTCTCTCCTCCCAGCCTCCTTCCTGGAGTCCCGCAGCTGGCGGGGCCTGGAGCAGCGTTTGGGGCAGACACCCGTCTCCAAGGCTGTGCAGGGCCGACGAGGGATTGCCATTGCCTACGAGGACGAGGGGCGTGAGCAACCCTGATCCGGCAGCAGAATCGGCAGGAGCCGGGGGCATGTGGGGGCCCAGGCATTGCGTGCCACCGGGTGTTGGACACGGGAGGGTCTGATGAGGGTCCAGACCTGCCACCATCTGGCCCCGTGCTGGATGCGGCCTTGGGTCAGTAGTACCACAGTGGGAGAGCAGGAACTGCATGTGCGTTCCGGGATGCCCGCGGCACCACAGGGCTCATGGCCAGCATGGCAGCAGGGCCAGGACAGGCGCTTGGCCCAGACCCGGCCTCTGAGGGCTCCCCAGTACAGGGCAGCTTTGGCCCTACACAGAAAGGTCACAGCTTCACACAAGCTGACAGCACTGGGACTCGAGGCTTTTGTGGGCTACTGCTGCTAACTAAAGCTGAACTGAAAAGGACTTGTGAGTGAATCGTCTCCTAGAATAAAACATGAGCTGTGGAGTGCAGACAGGGGATACCAGACATCCCAGAGTAAAAACACAGATCATGGTGCCTGCTTGGGGCGTGCAGCCCTGTGTGTCAGCTAAAATCAGCCCAAGAGAACAGAAAACCAGATCTGCGACCCCTAGAAATGAAAGCACGTTCACAGGCTGGGCTGGGGAACTGAGGCAAAGGGGAGAGGGCTCTGAGGATGAGCAAGCCCTTCACCTGCTCCAAGGAACAGGAGTGGGGTGCACACATCACGTGCTCCAGGGAAGACCCTGCATTCGGCAGGGATGGAGTCTGGCCCCTCTCATGTGGGGCAGAACCGTTTCTGCCCTGTGATCTGCTCCATGAGCTGCTACAAGGTGGGCAGGAGAACAGGGCGAGCAGGAGAGACTGGTTTTCACTATTGCTCCTGCAGCCAGGGGGAGAGGAGGCTTTGAGGCACCCCAGCCTTGATTCAACCCCCTCGCATGGGCTTTGCCCCAGAGGCAAGGGGCAGGTACAGTCCAGTCACTGCAATAATGACAGCCACAACATAGAAATATTCTTAATATAATTAGGTGCAGGGCCTCCCCCCCTCCCAACCACACACATACAAACGAGCAGGGGGCAAGTCCCCCTGCCCAGCCAGCCACTGCTGTGGGCACAGGGGCAGCGTCCCTGCCGTGGGGCACTGGCACCCACGGGAAGTGCTGGGGAAGGGCCAGTAGCCCAGGCATGGGGCAGCCCGTGCTGGGGCAGTCCTGCCCAGGCTTCCCCTCCGCCACCGCCCCCTCCTGCAGCCGGCACTCCCATCCCCTGCAAGGGGGGAACATGCTGGGGGAACAAAGATGCTGACACCAAGATGCGGCCACCAAATCTAGCTGAGGAGCATCCCAAGTGGGTTAATTCTAGGTGGAGGGTTATTCTACGAGCCGTACTGCAGCAGGGCAGGGAGGATAAGGGGGGCTTCCTTGTGGGGAAGAGCTGGTCTGGGCAAATTGTCCACGGTCCTGGCCAGGTGCTCAGTAGTCTGCTGCGTACTCCGTGCCATGCAGCCCTCGGCACAGCAGGGTGAACTCCTTCAAACGGCTCTTGTTCACACGCTCTCTGCTAAGACGGAGGGAGGGGACAAGCGTGAAGCAGGAGGGACACACCTCGCCACGTGTGGGTGTGTGTGTGTGGGGTCATTCCCACCACGTGGGGCACAGCCACCCCAGGGAGGGGTGCACAAACCTGAGGATCTGCTGGCTGAAGGTCTCCTTCTGCTCAGGGCTGACACGGGCTGAGGGGAAGCCATCCTGCTGCATGGCCTCCTTGATCCAGATGCTCAGGTAGCTGAAGCAGTGCTTGTTCAAGGCAAAGAGGATTTCTGCAAAGTGATCCATGAGGCTGCGGGAGGCCTGGCCACCAACACCCTGCCACAAAGCAGACAGACCCTGCTGACCCCCTGCCTGCACCCACCCACGCTGCCGGGCTCTCTGCCCCAGCTCTGCACGGGTGCCACCTGGGAACAGAGTCCCAGGCTGCCTGTGCCCTGATGGGGAGCCCTCAGTTCCAGTGTCGCTCACCTCCAGCACTGCCTGCAGCAGCACTTTGCCGTTCTCATGCACGACCTGTCCCACTGGGGCGATCTCTCCGCAGCGCGGCAGCAGCTCTGTCTGCAACACAGCACCCAGCCTGCTCAGGGCCAGGGCAGGCTCCACACCACAGCACCTGCCCCAGCCTGCAGCCCCACTCCTGCCCTCCCCACTCTTGATGGGGCGGAGGGGGACGGGGCACATGATGCCACGATACTCACAAAAAATCCACAGGATGCTTTGACTGTTGGGGCCTCGGGGAACTTGAGCGAAAGGACACCTGTGGGCACAAATCGCTCAGGTTAGCAGCCAGAACACCACATGCCATCCCAAATCAGCCCTGTGGTCCCCAGTGCCTGTGCCCGGCTCCGTGGGAGGAGCAGGCTGGCTTCACAGCATGATTTGGGACACCTGCCCATGCCCACGGTACTCACCACACTGAAACACCGCTTTGACATCCAGGTTGCTACACAGGAAGAGGTCCGGCTTCCTCTTCAGAGCCTGCAAGGCACACAGACGGGCAGCATGAATCCAGCGCTGCTGAGGCAGCTAGGAAGCCTCCAAGGAACCCGGTGCCCCAGCCAGCCTTTGCCTGGCTGCACACTTACCTGTCCGCACCCACGGTACATGGCAGATTCACACAGTACAGCAGGAAACCATCACTTCCCCCCCAGGAAAATGTCAATCAAACAGCCAGGCAGTGTGCTATGCTCTGGGACCACAGACCCCAGGACCTGAGGACAGATGCCATGGTGGTGTACACACAAACCCTTTGCATACAGAGATGGGACGGAGGGCTCCTGTCCCACCAGCACAGGCCAGGCACTGCCAGGACAAGGCAGCCAGCAGAGACCAGCCACCCGTGTGCTTTGCTCCTCTCCTCTGGAAGATGCTGACGTTCCCAGGGGTCACAGCAACTGGTTCAAGCAGTAACCCCAGCCTGGACCAGCAGCTCTCTCTGGGCTCCAGGTACAGATGACAACGAGATGACAACATTGCTTGGCAGTTCCTGAGCAGCAAGTCTGAGATCAGAAAAGCTTTGTTTTATTGTTCCTGTCCCACAGCAATTCCACCCGCCTCTGTGGGGGTCAGGCACTGCTGCTGGGGACACCCTGAGCTGTGGCAACTTGTGCAGTGGCTTGTCTCCCCTGTGCTGGCACTGGGCAGTTACTGGACAGAAACGTTTCACCTTGCACCTTCCACTCTATGGGAAGGGCTTCTGCCCTGCCACAGGGAGCCCTGCTATGTAAGGTGGCCACGTCCATGCCCTGACCCACCATGCCACCATGCCCACCGCTACGGGCCAGCACTGGGGATGGCAGCCATGCCTCCTGCCCTGCTGTCACTGTGACACCGGGGACAGCAGCCACAGCACTGGAGTGGCCCCACTCTGTGCCTGGAGCTTGGCGAGCAGGAGACCAGGGCAGGCAGCCCTCAGGCTGAGCTGTGTGCAGGACCACCGCCGCCCTCTGAGCCTGCTCCCAGGGACGAAAGCAAGGACAGCTTTCAGCCAGCAGTGCCCAGGACACACGGCCATCTGCCCACAGCCATGGTCTAGTTGGAGCAAAACAGACTTATTTCTCACTCTTTCTTCTCCAGGGAAAGCCCACAGCCATCTGCCCAGTGCAGAGAACATATGCTGGAGACCCAGAAGCCGAGGTTTCAGGGTTACTCCATCTCCTTTCTGACCCTATGTACCACATGCTGCAAAAGAGGACTCGGGTTTGGGCACCAAAGGCACTGCTGTACCAGGCGGAGATGGCACAATCACAGGGACCTGCTTCCTTGCTAGATACAAACAGAGACCGTCACAGGGCGATCAGTGGCCGCATTATACCTGTGTGTGTATATACAGACTGAGGGCACAATCCTGACGCACTAGCACCAACATCGGAAGGCTAGCTAGTGGCTGGGCAGTGGTTTAGGGACATCCACTCATCATGCCTGCTGCTGTCTAGTCAGCCCCATACTGGACAAATGTTTGCAAGCGCCCTTGCAGTTTTGGCCATGGGAGACCACCCCTGCTGGGTGCTGGCGCGGGCTCCAGAGCAGTGACCATGAGCCTCTCCCCCAGCAGCATGCTGCTCGAGGGCAGCTGGCTCCTGCGATACCACCCAGCTGCAGGTTCCTCTACCCTGCCTGTCCAAGGGGCTGGTTTTAACCTGCCCTGCACATTGCAAGCCCGTTCAGCTGGCATAAGAGTCTTCCAATGTGTTCAGGTTGCCACCTACCTGCAGGGTGCTTTCCCAGCCAAACCAGACCCGCCAAGCTCTCCTGCAGGCTCGCTGCAGCATCTGCTCCTTACTCTGCCAGTGCCACAGGGGAAAGCGTGCCAGCAGTGGGAGAGCTCCCTGCCACACATGCACGCCTAATGTAGACACGAGATGCTTTTTTACCCCCATGAGATGGGGCCCTGTGGTGCTTCTCTCATTAGCCAGCAGCACCAGGTAGGTCCAACTGCTCTTTCCCAGCACCAGGATCCCTGCTCCAGCTCTGGGGCCTCTTACGGCCAGTCTCCTGCCAGAGCAGCTCTGCTCACACATTCTAGTATGGGGACAGGTCTTTAAACGCTTTTAAAAGTCCCCCCACATCCTCTGCTGCAGCAGCCACTGCAGAGGTAGGCACTGGCTGTCCGGCAAGGGCTGTCCTGCAGGCTGTCACAGAAAGGCAGTTGGGTGCTTCTCCACGGCAGCTGGGAGACCCCCAGACAGGTCTTCAGAGCAGGCTCTTCTTCTGTGCCCAGCTGACAGTGTGGGGCTGCACAGCCAGCTCCTGCAGCTCCCCAGAACACACAGATCAAGCTCTTGTGTCTGGCACCACCATCTCTTCTGTCCGGCAAGGGCTGTCCTGCAGGCTGTCACAGAAAGGCAGTTGGGTGCTTCTCCACGGCAGCTGGGAGACCCCCAGACAGGTCTTCAGAGCAGGCTCTTCTTCTGTGCCCAGCTGACAGTGTGGGGCTGCACAGCCAGCTCCTGCAGCTCCCCAGAACACACAGATCAAGCTCTTGTGTCTGGCACCACCATCTCTTCCCAGACTACACACTCGGCAGAGCAGAGCCTGAAGCTTTGGAAAGGGCACAGCCAGCCCCTGCCTGCTGGGGAGAGGGGGTGCTGAGTCTGCATCCTCCACGGAGCTCTGTGACTCTGGCTGGAGCAGGTGTGGTGGAGAGCTCTAGGACTGCTGCTTGCAGCCTGGACCAGCCCAAGAAGAGAGGGATGTTGGCGATGGCACTGGCTGTGCCTGGCTAGGCACTGTCGGTGCCCTCACAGAAGGTCAGTCCTGCATCTTCTGCCTGGTAAGGCCCTGCTCGCCCAGTCTGTCCTGGGGAGGTCACTGCAGTGCTCCCGAGGTGCTGGCACGGAGCCCTGCCGGGCTGGGTGGATGTGCCTGCAGTCCCCGGGCTGGAGAGCCCCAAAATCCTACCTGCAACCAGGAGCCCACACACAAGTGATACCAGCTGGCCAGGGAGCAGGCAAAAGCTCCCAAACACCAGAACCTGCCTGTTTTTGCCAACGCAGACCCGGGTGCAAGCCCCAGCCACGGCGGCTCTGTGGTCCTCGTCCCAGGCACTGCAGCTGGGTGGGTGGCACTGAGCCCCACAGCCCTGTGGGTGGGACGGTCACCTCAGGGACAGCAGCAGCGATGCTCTGCACCATCCTCAGCACACAGTGGAGGCAGGAGGGGAGTAGCTGAGGACAGATCTCCCTGCAAAGGCTGCTAGCACTGCTCCATGCAGCCTTACAGCCAACTGGTTATTCTATACTTCAAGTAGTAACTCCAGGGTCTCCGGCATCAGTAAGACATTTGGTTTAAGCCAGCATGCTCTCCTGATCAGCCAGCCATCGTCAAGAGTGGACTGTCAATTAACACGGTGGTAAAATGATCAGCCGCACCAACTGGGCAGTCCCACAGGTTGCAATCAAGCCCAAATAAAGACACTGTAAAGTCAACTGAAATCCTGTCACACAGAGAGACGGCTCCCTGAGAGCTGGTGACAGAGGGCTGCTGGGCAGCTACCAGGAGGAAGGAGCTGCTTCTGAGTTATCAGAAGATAGGAGAGTACTCGCTAGCAGAGGGAGAGGACAAAAACACTGCCTGCAAGGAGAAACCAGACAAATGTGAAACAGGGAAGATGGTATTTCCACCGAGGTGATCAACCACAGGAGCAGACAGGCAGGGAAGTGGGAAAATCTCCACCTTGACACACTCTTGGGTTGAAACACGCTGCTGGTCTGGAAGATGCATTTCTTTGCCAAGGGCTCTGCAGGCAGAGCAGGCTGGGATGAAAATACAGCCCCCACCACATGGAAATCATCTGAAGAGATCTGCAGTTCTCTCCGACTTTAATCCTTCGATCTGCAAATACTGAATGGCATCACTGCAGAGCATGGCCTTCTGGAAAGGACAGGCTGGACCCACCTCTGCCATCAGGCAGCTCTTGAAGTTCTGAGAGCAAGGAGCAAACAGGGATGGCAGGGATACTTCTTGATGGGTTTCAAAGCACCCTGCCAGATCATCAGTTTGGGAAGAGGCCAAGGAAGAGGAGGAAACCTTGAAACAAGTCCTGTGTGTGAAGAGAGAGGATGGTCTCTGTGGCATTGCTGGAAGTAAAAGCCCAGGAAAACACCAGGTCTTGAGTGGGCAGTGGTGGCCTGGCAGCACGATGTCAGACGTCTCGCAGTGATCAAGGACGGAGCCGCCTTGGAGGCAGGAGCCTCGGAGCTGCTCCTGCAGCAGGGCCTCTGAAGGATGGAGGCTGTTCAGAGACTGGCACACTAGAGACCAGCCCAGCTGCCAGCATGCTGCCCCAGCGCTGCCTGCAGATCCTGCCCGTGAGGGCAGCAGGGAACAGCCTCCCAGCAGTCGGGATGGGTGGTGTTTGCTCTCACAGCACACCCCATAGATGTGCAGCACGGTTGCACTTTTCTCTCCAAGAAAGCACAAGTGTGCCGTGTCCAGACACAGAGAAGGAGACCAAGTGAGAGAGAAACTCAGCACTTTCCAAAGAAACAACAAATAGACTTGGAAGTGCCTCCTGGGGTCACCTAAAGCCCTACCCCCTGGCAGGATCACCTCTACCTGCCCTCCAAGGCTTGTTGAATCCTTTCAAGCCCTCCAAGAGACAGCAGCTCCCCAAGTGACGTTCTAGTGCTTTCCTGAACTCTTAGAAAGATCTCCCACTGCGTGACCTGGATCCTTTTTTCCATTACTTCCTCTCCTTACTGTTTGTCCCGCTCGAGGACCACAGAAAAGGGGTTTTTACGTATTACTGGGACATTACCTTTTACACACTCCAAGACTCCTATAGCTCCTCAGGCTCCCACCAGCCTTTCCTCCTCACCATGTGTACAAGTTGGTCATCCTCCCAGATGCTCTTCTCTGTGCTCTCTGGTCTGTATCTACAGAAATGCTGTGCCCCGAACTGGGCACAGTGCTGGAGTGGAGGTCCCGCTAGCACCGAGTGGCTGGGGAGGACACCTCCAGGAACCTCACGCACAGACCCCATTACCATCCTCCCATCATGTTCGAGACCCTTGTTAAAAGGTCACAGCTTCCAAAACCGGCACCTGCAAAAGCTGCGAATGCTTTCTGATAACCTTGATTACATTATGTCTTTCAAGATGAAAAGCAAGGGAATAAAATCCTGCAATAAGGCTTGTGAGATGCAATGGGTCTCAACGGGATCTGGGCATGAAATTGAGACCTGAAAGGCGCAGACCCTGCCTGGGCCGGTGAGCTGCAGCCCCCCCACCCACTCCATCCTGCAAGACCCGCACGTGGGCCAAGCAGCTGTGGGAGGGGGCTGATGGCTCAGCACCTGTCTGTGCCAGACCCCTCCTGAGCTGATGGCGAGGGCAGGATGGCCACAGCGCTGGCAGCTGCCTGGGTGGTGTTCCTGCACAGCCGCTGGGCCAGCACGTGTGGTTAGAGGTCTCGCCATTACAGAAACAAAGCAGGAAGCCACTCTGCCGGGCCCCTCCTTGCCACCGACCCACCCTCTGGTCTGTGACAGGGACACTGACTGCATCAAGGACATCAGGACTTCACCCTCCAGGGCCACGGCCCCGCTGCTCCTGACCAGTGTATATACACACATAGCACAGCACTGTCCCTGCCTGCCCACTGCCAGCTGTGACACGAGTGACAGCCCCGTGAGCCAGCCTGCGGCCCCCTCCACGCCAATGCAAAACATCTCTGTGCACTGCTGAGCTGGTGGCACGGGAGTGCTCCTGTCCTGCAGTCACAGGAGCTGCTAACACCCCGAGAGGCTGCCAGGGCGGGAGGCAGTGTGCCACCCTGGCAGGGCTGGACACCGTCACAAGCACGTTGCTCAGAGCCAAGCCCCGGTGGGCAGGGGCCTCCTCCCACTGGCCCTGAGCCACCGGCTCAGCTCATCCCTGCTCTGGAGGACCCATCACAGGGCAGGTATACGGGTTGGAAAACATCCACTTAATGCTCTAATTTGTCTGTCACCCAAGGGTGACCATGGCAGCAGCCCCAAGCTCCCTGCACCAGCTTCGGCAAGGCGAGGGGGTGGCAGCTGGAGGCTGCCCTGCAGAGGAGGGCACTGCCCTAGGGATGGTGTGAACCCAGAACTAAAGGAGAATGTTTTGTTTTCAACTTCCACGGAAACAGATGGAGAAACTCGATATTCAACTAAAAGGAAAAAAAACGTTGTCAACAGAAAGCTAAAAATAGGTTTAAATTGAATTAAAAAGAGAAAGAGAGAGAACAGAAAGTGAATGAATAAGAAACTAAAACACACCTGTGCCAGGAGTTGCATAAATGAATCAACAATATCAGGATGATCCCTGGGCCCTAAAATATAATAAAGATGTAACTTAAGAGAAAAATCATACAAACAGCAACTCAACATCATATAGTTATGTGATACAGAAAGAATTTACAAGTGAAAACAGGAGTGTAAGGGAGGAGGGGTGTGTGGGGAAGGGGATGGGCAACATGAGCAGCTTGAACCAAGTTAAAGAAACAAAACATACAAAAAATCATGAAACTTGGAGAACCCAAGAACAGAAAGAAACCGCAAAGAAAAGGGTCTGAAGCCCCAGGGTCTCCAGCTAGCGCCTGGGTGCTGCAGAGCCAAGGAGGAGATCTTCGTGTCCTTGGGGAGGAAGAATAGGAGGAGCAGGGGCTAGCTGGGCACCATCTCCCAAAGGAGAATTAGAGCTTTTGCACTGTGGGGACTGAGCGGGTGTCTTCAGAGCACCGTTTGGTCCTGGAAGATAACTGCAAGTGAACGACAACACCTCAGCAAATGCTTGATGGGCCTGGCCGGGCTCAGGCGTGCACATGCTTGTCACCAGCACCAGCTGCTCAGGAGCCCCTGGCACAGTCACCCTCCCGCCCCGTTCCCAAATGCTCTCCGCGACCCTGAGTCCAGGGCCCTCCTGAAGGTCTCCTCCAGCATCCTGCGAGAGAGCAGCTCAGTGCCCGGAGATGTCCATGCCAGCACCACTCGCCCTACCTTGGCATCTGACTGTGCACAATCAGTGGGGGTCAGGCGTCCCCCCATCTCCTGCCACACGTGGGCTCAGCAGAAGGGGCTCACCCTGTTCTGGCCACCCAGTGAAGGGGATCCACAGGGTGGGTGTGAGCACACAGTCCTGGGCACACAGTGAGCTGGATGGCCCCTTGCCTGTGCAAAGCTTGTGTCCAAGTGCTGGCACAGCTCTGGCTCTGTCCCCCCGGCTTTCCTCCTGCAGACATGCCTGCTGCTGCGTGGAGGCATCAGAGGCATCGCGGCCTCCCCAGATGCTGAGCCAAGAGGGTTTCGGCGTACACACCCACACGCCCCTGGCAGAAGCAGGGACCTGATCTCCAGCTCGCTTGCTGCTGACCCCAGTGACACCTCAGCACAGCAGGATTTGCTCGGACCGTGACGTGACGATGAAGCAAGGGTCCTCACGCCTCCGCCGCCCCTCTGAGAGCTCTGAGCCTTGTGCTGGGGGACAGCATCACCCTGTCCGGCACCTGGCTGTGAGCAAAGGACAAGACCCCTTGGGGACTGCATGTGGAGGTGCTGAAGGACCAGAGCCAGCAGCTCCAAGGTACATTGTCCCTGTCACAGGGTGAGCCACCAAGAGGCTGAGGGGAGCCATAGTATGGAGGGGCCTGTCCTAACCCCATTCGCTTTTTGTAGGGTGGGCAGTGAGCTGAGGAGGGGCCCCTGCCCTGTGGGAGGATGCCAGCATCCTCAGCATCACAGCAGTGACTTGGTTGCCAGCAGTGACTCTGAAAAAAGTCATTTCCCAGATGTTCACACGCATATCTTCCTGCTCGGGCTTGATTCCTGACACTACAAGCAGCACTGGCCCACAGAGGAGCCCCAGGATCTCCTGCCAAGCAGGGCTGGAGCTCTGGCTCGACCCCTGCAGCACATGATGCCCAGCCCTGCTGCAGAAGCGGGGCTGTCATGGCAGTCCAGAGTCTCACCCGGGGGTCTCCTGCTTCTGCTGCCCTGCAGGGAAGGTACCCACCTTCCAGGGTTTGGGATGAATCCAAGAAACAGAGACGGCCCCATTAGCTTAGCTAAGAGTGAAAACAGCCATTCCTGGTAAGACGCCTCCAGACTCCGTGCATGCAACAGCCTGACAACAGCCCCAGCACGAAGAAGAGTTAATCCCACGTACCTTGCTGGAAGAGGGTCAGCGTGACTGAGGTAACGAGCAAGAAGAGGGCCTTGATGGGAGGGAAGTGGGCAGGCTCATGGGCAAAGATGTGAACCAGCTGAAAGAGAGAGAGAGGAGGACTGAAGCTGCTGCTGACCCTGTCTGCTGCTGGCCGCCCCAGCCCCGAGCAGGGCTCCATACCTGCCGGGTGAGGTCGATGGCAGAGGCCTGGGGGATGGTGCTGTACATCTGCCCCAGCATCTCGCACAGCTGAGGAACCATGGGGGCAAAATCATCCAGGAGGGTCTTCACAGACTTCTCAAAGATGGCACAGACAGACTGCAGGAGAAGGATGGTGTGAGTGACAGCCACCAGGAGACCTCTCCCAGGAGGGCCTGGGCTTGACGGATAGGTCCCAAGGGAGGAAAGAGGTGGCAATGGGGACAGGGACCAGCCAGGCAGAGGGCTCAGACCTGCTCTGGTGCTGGTGCCCTGCCCTGCAGCATGGGATGCTCCCAGACACTGGGAAACACCCTGACCACTGCTGCAGGAAGACTAGGAAGGGCCAGGTGGAAGAGTGGCTGTCAGGACGCGGCACATGGACTGAGTGAACTGGAGAAACACCAGATAATCACAGGTTCAGAGCAGAACAGAGTTCTCCCCTTAATAGGTTTGGTAGACCCCATCTCCCTGCTGGTGGCAGGGCCTCTGTAACCGGAGAGGAGCAGAGCTGATAGAGGCACAAGACCAACAAGACAGTCAGATGCTGCTGGTGGCAGCAAGCAGCACAGGTCTGAACAACCCAGAAAGACACCCCTCTGACAGGGCAGCACCCAGTGTCCGTCCTTTGCTGTCCCCAGTTCAGGTCAGCAAGGGCAGTACTCAGGAGGAGCCTGGTTACCTCCACCACCTGGGCATCATTCAGCCACTTGCTGAGGACCTTCTGTATGAGCTGGAAGACTTGCTGCAGGACCACCACCACCTGTAAGGAACAAGAGACACTGAAGAGAACTGGTCCCCACAGCACTGGGGAGGGGAGATTCAAGCCTAAGCATGGCCTGGACCCAACCCTCCAGGCACCACTGCCTCCTTCCCCTCTGCAGCAGCCGAAGCAGCCTGGCACAGCTCAAAGCTGGCAGGCAGCACCCAGGCTGTTCTCCAGAGCAGCACCCAGCCAGGAGGGATCCTCCAGGTCACCTCTGCCCACTTCAGAAGCAGTGGGTTGAGCTGAAAGAGTTGTTTTAGCTGGAATGCACCTGCTTCACAGTACGTGTTGCATTCCCCATTAATTCCCCTCTCCCTCTGAGACAGCAGTGAGTAGTGTAGCTGTGGCCAGGCTGAGGCAAAGAGCATCAAGCTACTGTTCTACTCACTGGGTTGGGTCCTTGCTGCACTGGCAGCTTCTTGACCTCGGTGCTTTCGTGGTCATCATCGTGGTGGCTGATGTCTAGGGTAGTGAAGAGATTGGAGAGCAGGCCCAGAATGTGGATGATGGCCAACTTGTTGGAGGGATTGGGCTGCCAGGGAAAATAAAGTCAAAGCGTGACACAGACTGTGCTGCTCAAACACAGCCATGCCTTTAGGATCCTGAGGAACCAGGACTGCAGAGGCAAAGAGCCAGAGATGGGTTCCCCACACTGCGCTCTCTCCAGCTCACGTTTGAGAGCCCTGCTTCAACACAGCAGCCCCAGGGCTACAGCCAGCAGGAGAAGCCACTTCTGGATGGAGGCAGCATGAGCCACTCACCGTTTCATCAGCCAGCTTTTCCAGCTGCTGGATGTAGGGGGTAATCAGGGAGTGCAGGTTCTTCAGGATCTCCTCCACTTGCAGCGCAGAGAGCAGGAAACCAAGAGCCTGCATCAGCCACATGCACTGGCTCGTCTGGGACAGAGAGGAGACACAACGGAGCAGGTCACTGCCCAGCCTGCAGCCCTAAGACAGCTGTCAGGGGCCCAGCCAGCAAAACCAGGACCCCCATGTGCTGCAGCTCCTGAGCTGCTCTATCTGGGTCACCCTAGGCACATCTCACTGCAGGAGAGGGGAGCAGCTCCCTGCCAGCACAGCAGAACCCAGGGAACAGGCATTCTGCCACCAGCACAGCTGGCCTCTTCCCAGCAACCTGCCAAGAAAAGACCAGCTGGTGCCCAGCAATCTTCGTGCTGGCACCACTCGCCCTGCCTCAGCACACCATCCCTTTCACAGACCCGCCTCAGCCCCTGTGGGGTCAAGTGTCCCACCCCATCCTGGTCACAGGCACAGCCTGGCCTCTGTCCCCACACTTCTCTCCTTCCTTTTTTCTCCTGAAGACATGCCTGCCATCTTGGCACCCTTGGGCTTGGAGGGACTGGGAACTGCTAGAGTTAAGTCTCCCTGGGGCTTCCCTCTCTATGGGGACATACCCCCCCAGCGTGACCCCAGCCCACGTGCAGTGGGAGCCCAGCAGCACAGCGAGGGGCAGCCAGCAGGTACTCCCAGCCCTGCATATGATGGCTGCAGCGCTGAGCTCTCCTCTGGAGACAGCCCAGTTTGCGATGGCACCCCTCGTGTCTTCAGCTGAGCACAACTAATGGGGGCAAGCAAAACCAGCCAGAGGTGTAAGCCTCTTACCTTGTGAATCTGCTTCATCAACACCTCCTGCCGAATGGAAGGGGAGAGAGAAAGAGGAGGGTGAGTGCTGCAGAAAGCCCCTTCCCTTCCAGGAGGCAGGACTGGCGCAGGAGTTCAAGACAACTGACACCAGTGTGGGCACAGACAAGCAGCACATGGCTCCACACAGCCTCCCCACAAGCCACAAATCCTTGTCCCCTGGTAAGCTCTTCTTCCAGCCAGCCCCCTCAGCCACCCATTGAGGGGAGCCCTGCCTCGGAAGGACTCTGCAGGACAGCGCAAGGAGCCAACCTCAGCCAGGGCCTCCTTACCCCAGCGACGGTGTCCCCCAGGCTCCAAGAGCAGAGGCTCATGCCCTCCACTGGCCCCTCTCTGCTCCCATGCACACCCCAGCCCTCCTCCTAGTGCCTTCGGACGCTGAGTTCCATCTGTCCCAAATCTTGAGTCAAGAAAGACCATGGGACAAGCTGCCCCGGCACTGCAGGGACCAGCTAAGTCTCTGTGGAGGGGCTTGAACCCCAGGATGCCCCCCAAGATGCCCAGCAGCAGCACCAGCTGCCTGGCAGGTGCAGAGCTGGCAGGATGCCGCTCCCCACAAGGCAACCAAACCCCAGGGAAAGGATGGGTGCCAATGTGCAACCCCATTGGACTCCTTGGCAGTTGTGCCTGCCATTTCTGCACTCTCAGCAGGAGATGGGGCCTGCCAGCTGGGTCTGTTGGCCTAGGAACAGGATAGACAAGTCACCCACACCAAGCAAGATGCTCTGAGCTGCTGTTCTACATCCCCCTGCCCTGATCCATGGGGAGGAAAGGGTTTCCACAGAACACATCCCAGCTCACTGCCACATGTCCATCTGCATCCAGCTCCTACCTGGGACACGGCAACGATGTTGGCGGCATAGGGCGGCAGGTCGTACTTGCACTCCCGACAGATCTTCTTCAGGGTGGAGACGCTGGAGATGGAGAGCTCAGGGTTGCCCAAGGCCTGGAGCACCAGCGGCAGCACGTTGTTAATCATGACGGGGTGATCAGCCAGCCACTCCGACAGGGCCCCTGAGCACACAGACAGGATCAGACCCCGGGACCGCACCATGGGCTCTTGCTCCCTGCATCCCAGGATGCTCAGCTTTGCTTTTCGCTGCTGTTATTGCTGGGCAGGAGCGGTCTCACAGGGCAAAGGCCTCACCTATAGTGAACATGACGGTATCGGCAAGCTGCACGTTGCTGATGCTGATCCGGGGAATGAGGCCGATCAGCCCTGGCACAACGTCAGAGTAGTTCACATCGATGGTCTCGGCGATGGACTGGAATCCATAGAGCAAGGCCTCCGTGTGCTGCCAGGGTGGGAGAGGCACCGTCAGAGCCACATGCTGACCCCTGATGTGCACCCCAGCCCCAGGCACTAGCTCAGTACCCCCCGCAGTGGCTGAGGAGGCTGGTCCCTGGGCAGTGCTAAGGACAGGGAGGCAGAAGAAGACCTGTTCCTCCTTCCAGCAGACTCCAGAGAGCCCACAGATGTGCTAGCAAGGTGGTCATGCTCCTTGCCTCTATCACAGCCCTTTGCTCTCAACACCCCATGGTCAGGATAGGTCCCCTAGGGGCTCGTAGCCAGCAGCCTGGCACCCAGGCCCCCTCGCTCACCTGCCATGTGGACGGCTGCTCCGTGTTGGTCAGGAGACGTCCCAGTTTGTCATAGAGGCTGCTCAGGAGCTCAGCACCCAGCATCTCATACACGTACATCAGCGTGTCAGAGATGTCCACCCTGCAGAGAACGTTGAGGGTCTCTGAACACTGTCCCCATCCCGTGCAGAGCACTCCACATGTGGACACACTACTTCCCCTCCCGCTGCCAGGCATTCCTAGGCAGGGCAACTGGTGCAATGCCACAACACCAGCTTATTTCCATATCGCCACCACAGCCAAAACAACTCTTGGTGGAGGGAATCTCCTCTGTGTCCCTCCTTAGGTCGCCCCATGGTGCTCAGGCTCCAGGAGGCAAGATCTTGCCTGTGTCCTTGCCTGCTTGACAACCAAACCCACCTCTGAGCCCAAAGTCACATCCAGGCAGGGAGCAACATGTCCCAGTCCTGCTACCCAGGAAAGGCCGGCTCCAGATGTACCTGTATATCCGAAATTGCTCCTTCTCATCTGAAGACCAGAAGCCATACTCCTCATCGGAGGGGAACTGGGCTTTGTGCAGCAGCACATCCACCAGCTGGAAGTAGACAGGCCTGTAGACCTGCTGGTACACCGCCTGCTTGTCCGGCTCGAAGGAGAGAATGTCATCCTGGCAGCAGGAGGAGGAACACATCAGGTCTTGCACGGGAAAGAAAACAGAGCCAGCATGCCCAATTGTGTGGGGGGCAGGGGCATCTCCCAGGGCTAGGAGGACCTGTCCCACCTCAGAGGCTGCATTTCCAGCTCCCCAAAGTCCACCTGATGCTGAGCCCTTCCACAGTAGCAGCATCATCTGTAGGCAAGATGCCAGAAGGCCCAGCAGCCGGGTGGACCCTTGGGCGTTTGAGGACAGCACAGCTACAGCGAGGTAGCACTGCCGAGCCATGTCCTTGCCTGGGGAGCACCGCTGCCTTGGGAGCACATCTGCCTCGGAGCCCCCCTGTGCAGACATTGCCACCCTCCCTCCTCATGCTCAGCCACACCGCATCAGAGTGCAGAGAAATAGAGCTGGGGGGATGAATGGGGGCTAAAAATAGAGCATGATGTGGCAGGGTGGAACACTGGCCCTGGGAGAGTGACCCCACACTGGGCAGCCCTCTCTTTCCTCCTCTGAGAGACCCCGGCTGCCAGCCTGGCAGCGGAGCTAAACAATCAGGTCTGCTGCTGGGAAAAAATCCTAGCAGAAGTTTTAGTTATGTTAACAAGGCCCTTAAAGGCTGGCTCAGACTTCCAAGGAAGACTGAGGATGGAAAAAGCAAGCCACAGGGCCAGCATTTCTGAGTTATGTGCCCTGTGGCAGCTGTGAGTGCAGGGTGAGGAGTGGGGCATCCCTGGGGAGCAAATGTGGCCGTGCCCCTGTCCCCGCTGCAGCGGTGTCCCCAGCCCTGCCCGCAGTGCAGGACCCAGGCAGCTGCCCCACGACAGGCACTGACCTGCAGCGTGTACCAAAAGGTGAGTGTCAAGGAGCTGGTGGTTTCGTTGACGGGGTAGTGCCCAGGGATGCCGGTGCAGAACATGATCATGTTGACCAGGGCCAGGAAGCTCTGCCAGTGCTCCACCTGGTCCAGGAGAGCCCTGGGGAGCAGAGAGCACAGTCAGGGCGGCACCACCCCGTGAGCCTGAGCCTGGCTCCTCCGCCCGCCCTGACACACATCGCCCGGGGCAGGAAAGGTGCTGGACAAAGACGTGGGAAACAGCAAGCTGCTGCAGGGTCCCCTCCTGGGTTCCCTCTCCTGGGGACTGTCCCCAGCACTCACCGGGAGTGGTTCTCCCCCAAGGCCACGGCGATGCGGCAGATTCCATGCGACGTCTCCATGTCCCCGCTCTGGACCGCCTGGCGCAGCTGCTCTTGGAGCCCCAGCACAGTGGGGATGAGCTTCAGGAGGGTGTTCACATACCTGGCGAGCACAGCCTGAATCAGTGCCGGGCATCACCTCACCGGCACCACCTGCCACGGCATCCATCCCT